TGTCTTCTGCTCTTTGTTGTTCCTGCCACTAAAACGCAGTTCGATCGCGGCTCGTACAAAGTGAACCACTCTCTGAGCTACAGTCCACCCTGGAGTCCGGCGGGTCCAGCTCAGGACAAAGGGACGGTTTAAAGTCGGGTCCGGCGGCCAGCAGACCCCTCACACGGCGCCGTGTTTATTCTATTATGGCCGGTGTGAAAGGGAGGCGTGGAGCGGTGAATAGAGCCGCTGGATGGCCGGCGCCGCAGCATTATCACAGGCCTGGCAGGCAGAGCGGCTGTGGAGCCACACCGCCACGCCACCAGCGCTCCAAGTCCTCTTTTATGCGCCGACGCAACACTCCTCATGCAGGTACACGCCGCAGAAGCCTCTCCGCCTTTTTGTATTCTCTATTGTGTGCAGCCGCCGCCGCCGCCACGGAGAGTCTGTGGACTAATGCGGCGCCGCCGAGCCGGTGTCGCGGCGGCGATGTTAAAAAGGGTCTTTATGTCTTCTGAAGTCCTGGGAGAGCCTCGGGCGCGCTGGAAAACAGGCTGTGAAAACACACATTCAACAGTTTGCTCTTACAGATACGCTGGTCTTTGATGGGGTTCTTATTGTGGCCCGGCTCCTGCAGCGGCGCCGCATCGGGCCGAGGCGGTTTGTTTAGAATTTAAATCACCTGAACACGCGTCGCCTCCAAAAACTGATTTAATCAGATCGTTCTGGAGATTCTGAGAGCCAGCGATGGCACCGAGTCGTTCCATCTCATCATTCATTTTGCATTTTGGTCAACGCTCGTGATTCGGTACCAGAATAATTGTGTTCCTGCCCTTAAAGCCTCCTGCAGACTCTGGAGGAATTCTAATCTGAGCATGAATCAAGTCAGCTGTTTTTAACTCGTTAGTCGGAGGATTTTTACCCCCAGACGGACCCGCGGCGTCGTCCTCCACCTTCAGGGGATCAAGTAGCTCCATTATTTTCCCATTTCGTGCAGATTAAACCAGGATTCTGCGCTGAGAGGTCCACGTTGTCAGGACTGTGATTGTACTTTTTATCTTGTTTTATCTCTGGCTGTCATTCACTCTTTGTTAACTTACATCTTCAGCTGCTGGTTGGTGAAGTTCAGGAGCAAAACCGACCCGGTTCGGTGGAGAACAGGACCGTGGTCTGGGTTTAGATATGAGGGACGTTTAAAAGGACATCAACTGATAAATCAAAGACGAAGGCCGTGAATCCTCTCTTGTTATTTAGTGACTTCATGTCGGCAGCAGAGAGTGCTGTGGGAGGTCAGCTAGTTCAGCTAGTTCAGCTAGTTTAGCTAGTTTAGCTAGTTTAGCTAGCTAACGGCACCATGACAACAACTTCTGAGTCAGTATCACATCCGAACAGAACTCATTTACTTAAGTTGAGCTGGAGACTCGGCAGTGTTCTCGTGTCGATGGATTAGTTATCGGTGTTAAATTAGGCCAACAATTCTAAATTTGCATCCGTGGTTGCCATGGTTACCACATGCTACGAAGCTCTGTTTCGGATGTTTCCAGAGGTGACGGTTTTACTTCAGACTTTAAGTGCGAGACACAAGTTCCCGGTGTTAATGGAGCTCATCAGTGATGAGACTGGATCAAAACGACCAGACGGTGGACGAGCTTCACGTTTAAACCCTCTGAGCGTCAAACACCTCGACCCCGGTGAGCTTCACAGACGTCTGTGTGAAGTTAGCATTATTATATTCTGTTCCTCATTTCAACTGTGTGGTTTTGTACTTCTTAAAGGTAGTTCTGCATCATCCCACATGCTGACAACATCCAATTATACCTTTAATTGATGCCAGACAACCTGCAAATGGAGCGTTTCCCCGTCGTTGTTTGAACGCCGTCAAGGGCTGGTGGCAGATAGGACAGAGAGTTTTCATCTGGAGAGAGCACGTTGGCTCTATCTATCTATCTATCTATC